GATCCACCTGCCTCTGCCTCCTGGGTGCTGGATTAAAGGCGTGTGCCACCAACGCTCCGGCTGCTAAAACAAGATTTAAAGATGCTTAACACACCTTAAAATTTGTACTTAAGAGAGTAATTTTACAATACACTTGTGGAATGTTCTTTTAATGAATTTTTCTGTTGGAAGCTTTAAGCTGGGAGAAATATCTCTGAAAGCTTTTAGAGTCCCTCAGACATAAGGAGGCCAACTGCCTGGCCTTTCTGTGAGCTGTGCTAAATCAGGACAAATTTCTTAGACCAGTGGCCCTACTCAGCTCTTATGTTATCCACAGTGAGCACATAGCAGTTCCACAACTTTGGAAATTATTCCCATTTTCACAATACTTGTGTATTACCTGCACTCATTCATAAGACTTTTTCTTTCTAGTTTATACTAAAGTGTTTCTGGTAGAATACTTGCTTAGCAGGTATGATGATCTAGGTTCAATCCGTGGCACCTACTTAGAGTATATTTTTTAATGCACCATTATTAAACAAAACTGTTTTATCATTAGTGCAAATAGCTAATTGGCCAATATAAAGGAAACAAAAACTTGTCGAAAATTCTAGATAGATACTGTGAAGAGTTCTGCACTAGGGGCCTATTTCTTATGCAGTAACAGAGAACTATGCAAGGGAATAAGAGTGAGTGTCCCTTATTTGCATTTACAGTCATGAGTACTTTACATATAGCATCTCATTTAATAATCTTAGTAACTATATGATATAGACAACTCCTTTTTATACAAGAAAACTAAGGCACATCATGACAGATGGTGGAAGCAGGAATGAGAGGCAGCCTGGAGGCCAACTTCTTAACAGTCCCATTCATACATACATATGGAAGAGAGAAGTGACTACAGTCAAACCCACTCAGGTTATTGCTGAGCTTGCCACACTTTGGAAACACAGCTCTTGGGGATATATGATGGTTAATTTTATCAGCTTGATCAGATTCAGAACCAACTAAGAGACACACCTCTGATTGGGTCTCTGAGGCCATTTTCAGAAGGGATTAAGTGAGGGAAGACCCCCCCCCCACACACACACACACGGTGAGTACTTTCCAAGAGATTCCAACAAAAAGCTGTGCTGCTTTCTTGCCTGTCGTGGCTTCATCCTGGTGAGTGTGTTTATCCTTCACTGACACCATAATCTAGATTCTTCTGCCTTCTGAATGTGAACCGGAGACCAGTAATGCTCCAGGAATTCAGCCTTCAGCAGCAGAGTGGGACTGTGAACATACCTAACTTTGTAGACTAGCCATGGATCAGGTTTCCTGCCTCTCCAGGGTGCAGACAGACATTTGGACTACCTAGACCCTGTTGTGTAAGTTAGTATAATATACCCCATTTCCAACTAATACTTATTGTATTGATTTAATTCCTCTAGAGATGGTTGACTGATACAGGTCATGTCCACACAGCATTTTAGAAGGCTTCCTTCCACACTCAAAAACGTTCACATTCTGGTGTGTGATGTTTTGTAACAGTGTCTAGAAGATTCTCAGAAGCCTGCAGCAAAGACTCATTTGCTTAAACACAACATTTCTTAAAGTATCTAGACCTTGAAACCAATTGTGGAGCATGTGTTAGCAATGAGGAAATTGGAGGTTCCAAGGACCAGTTCTGGCACACACATTTAGGTTCTGGAGGGATCTAGCAAGCCTGAGCATGGCACACATGGCTCTGGCAGGCCTTCTCCTTTTCCCCCATTGCCTCTGCCTAGATTACATTCCTAAAGCAGTCACCAAGGTATTTTCCCTTATTTGGTCACTTCCTCCTTCCGAGGCTGATCAACAAGGTCCAACTATCAAAGTATTGAAGTCCAGCAATCAAAAGTCCCCTTTGGCTACTCTAATTAATCTGTCCAATCAAAATTAAACACCTCATCCTAACACTGGTTTCCCTTTCCCCTTTTTATAAATTGACAGTAGCCTATGGGTCACCTCTGTTTCCTCTCTTTCTAGAAGCAGCCTTTGTCCCTCGGGGGCAAATACCCCTTCCCCCTCTCTCCTGTTCCTTCTCCCTTGTCGTCTGTCTCCTATCTTTGTCCCTTATTCCCTGCCTTTTATCCCTTTGGGGCGAATAAATCTTTGTGCTGAGTACTTGGTCTTGGGGTGGTGTTTGCCGATTCCAGGCTTTTCAGGTTGTATTTAAAATGATCTCCACTTCACTAAAAACTATTGCTTGTAAAGAAAAAGAAAGGACATTTCTTTCCCGAGTTTACAAATAGTTAAATGGGACCCCATTACCAAGTTCAGTTTCTCATGCTGTCTAACTTATTTACCTTCTAAAACCCCTTTTAACCCCCTCCTCCACCTCCACCTCCACCCCAGCCACACACACACACACACACACACACACACACAGCCCCTTTCCACACAGCAAAATAACAGGTTCCCTCATTGCCTACCACACTGGGTGACATAGCAGTCATGGACAAAGTTACCTTTGGCACTGGGATGTAGCAGGCATTGTCTCCTTGCATGTGGTAGGTAGGATGCTTTGGAGTTCTATAAAGTTGGTACCTACTTCAGAAAGCTCTCACTGAGATAGGGAAACAGCCACCGGAGGGACCAATAACTGTGAGAACTAATGCATTTCTAATTGTCACCACTGACACCTACTTTGCTGTGTGACCTGCTGAACAAGCTTAAAAGAACTCAGTGTGTCTTGATAAAATCCAGGCGTAAATTGTTGACATATGTTCAAACTCTGCTCTCTGGAGCTGAAGCAGGCAGGCAGCAGTAAGGATGGGGTGATAGGTGTCAGAACTTATCTGGGCTCAGCAGTCAGGGGGAGCCATTCTACCAGATGCTCACCTCTTGCTCCATCTCAGGTGGTTTCAAATACTTCACTGTAGGGGGATATTTGAACCAGGGTACAATAGCCTCACCTTCCTTTTTGGAGCTTTTTTCAGCATTTTCATCTGAGCTGGTCCTGTTCCTATGTCCCCGGTCCTCTGTGCTTGGGGCTTGGGGCCTGTCTAGTTTTCATGCATTTTTCTTTCCACCCTTTTTTTTTTTAATCTACTTTAAAACAAACAAGCAAACAAATGGAACCAATGCTTCTGGACAGGCCCTAAGGGAGCTGTAATGTCAGCCTTCCAGAGTGTTCCTAGACAGAAGTTACAAGCTATGGTTCCTGTGATGAGCCTTATAAAGGAAGGGGATGGGAATCCTCAAATCAATCACACATCAATAAGCTCCAATTTAGAAGCATAATGGTTCATAACGGCAAAAAAAAAAAATCTCACTTAATGGACATATGGTGTTGGGCTTGTGATATGGTTGAGTGATAGAGTGCTTGCCTGGTGTGTGCAGTGTTCTGGGTTCAGGTCCCAGTCCCCAAAGACAGAGCCAGTGTTCCAGGATCAGAGTTTTAAGGGAGACTTGGGCAAGGGAGATGGCTCAGTGGGTGAAGGCACCCAGTACCAAGCCTGCTCATCTGATGATCCCTGGGCATCCGTGGTAGATGGAGTGAACCTACTCTCCAAAGTTTCCCTTCGCCTTCCACATATGTGCTGTGGCATGCACATGCTCACACACATCCCCAAATAAGCAAAGTACATGGAATGAAAAATAAAATTAAAACAGTGGCTCTTCCATTTTTCCCCCTTTGGGGATTCAAGCCCCAAACAGATGAAAACAGCTAGCCCTGTTTCCCGTAGCTCAAATTTGAGCTAAAAATAGAAATCTGTTACTCCTTTTAACTGATAAAATTGAAACAAAAACTAATACAACCCAGAAATAATTAAACTCTGGAGTTTAAACATTTCATTGTATTTTTATTGATTTTTTTTTAAATTTCTGCTCTGTTAGGACAATGAACCGGGAAACCACAACTACAATTCACAGACTGCAGCATGAAAAACACACACTCCATTGGAATCACATCAAGCCCTTCCTCTTTATTCATTCGAAAGAGTCCAGTGCACGTGCAAAAGACAGTGCAGTGCACTGCCTTTTTTTTTTTTCCTTAGAAGGGGGAAACATTTATTCTGGCAGCACTTTTACAATCCCAGGAAGTGGTTGAGATAACCACTATAGTTGTAGGAATAGGAACCATAACAAACTTGGAGAGCATTTGACAGGCAAGGGGCTCCTCTTGTGCTTAGTGGACGGACGGCCCCTCAGCTGCTGGTCACCGAGTCTTTCCAGGTGTTGAAAGGAGGAAACAGAATTTCCTGTGTAGATGATGAAATTCCTCTTGATCGGAGTGGCTTCTGTATCTCCAACCTTCCCCTGACACTGAGGCAAATTCTCAGGCTTTGCTGGAGCTTGTTCAGGCACATGACCCTCTGACCAAGTCGACCCTGGCCACAACACACGTGACAACCAAGGCTCCCTCAACTACACTGCTTCTCTAGGGTTCAGATGACAACACAAAACATCACTTGTCAAAAAGTATCAGATATTCAGAACATGGACATCTGTGTTTATGAAAATAGCAACCATTTGCAGGGTATGCTCCCCCAAGGGGCCTTATTTTTAATTTAATATGGCCCTCTGGGGAGTAAGCCCAAAGTCATGTATGACATTATAAGACTGGTCAAAGTCTCTGGACTTGACAGTTTCAGAGCTGACTGGTGCCAATTTAAAAAACAAAAGACCAAAACGACTGCCCAAATAATTCAGTGGTCCGTAAAGCAACAAAACATTAACCCTTCGGTTTACACTTGCACACACACACACACACACACACA